TTTGAACAGTTTTTATCTAAAATATTCAAGAGTCTTTTAATCTGTGTCAATTTCAAAAGATTCACGTTTTCCAGACATATTTGGAACTTTTCAATGTTATTCAAGTTCTTAGGATTAACACTATTTAAGTAAATTCTTTATTTCTTCAAGGCTTTATTGATTTTTTTCGAATTTTAATATTTAGAAAATGTTCCACTTATTGAATGAAAATATTCTAAAATTGCTGTTTATAAATCCAATATTTTATACATTTTAAACGTTTCAATGCTTTCAAGATTTTCAGATATTTTAAAACATTTACGTCGTTCTAGACGCTTACATATTTCAAGATATAGCAATTATTCACGAAGTTTTGCAGTCTACGTCGCAAATGGTGTATAAAATATTCAAGACATAATACTGTAGACGTTTAAACCATTCAAAAAATATGAGACACTTGAGTCTCCTAAAATACTCAGGAAATATTACATAAAAGAATTTATGAAATACTACGAACATTGAATCATTGTATTATAATGCGACCTAATTGTAACACTTAAAAATCATTTGAATATAATTTAATTCAATAGCGGATCATAAAAATTATTCTAATACAATTTCATCCAATTGCAAATCATAAAAACCATTCCAATAAAATTTCATCCAATAGCAAAACATAAAAATCATTTGGCCACTTTACCTACTAAACAACAGATAATACTGTCGATGGCTGTCCAGTATCAAATATCAGATTAATAATTTTCCTTAAACAATAATCCTTCCAAAAAAGCTGATTACCCTATATTGTACACTGCTCAAGACAATTTCATGATTCAGGATTGTAATCGCTATATCCATTAAAAGATTCATTACGAAATCCGTAGTCATTGATCAGTAATCTTCAATAAACCGTTCAGTAACTGCTGGTAGGATGTGTTAATACAATTCGATGTTCGATCCTTATTGCAACTCGAATCTTAAGGCGCTTCGAATCTCCTCGCTACGTATATAGCTATCGTTGCGTCACAAGAGCACCATCAACGCTTTCAACACGGGGATGCAGTCGAACGTGTAGTTATGCGCCGCGACACGTCTGGACGCGTGGATCGGTCGGATAGCAAGGATTCGAGAGGACGATAAAGATCTTTCGCACGTACCGTCTGATCTGAGGTTTCTTATTCAATACGGCCGCGTGATTACAGCTCAGTTTCTTTTGTGCCTCCCTTCGGGGCTTCTAAATGAGTTCACTGGTGGTCTTCGCGCTTTTCTGTGCAACGAATGGCTAATACATTGATCGCTGACACGTTTCGTCAGATTTCAAAGGATTTTTCGCTTCTCATTGGGTGGACGGATCTGTGGGCACTGGCCCTTTCAGTTTTGAATAATGGAAATTGATTGATTAGCGTTGCAGTGGTAAACTATTTTAATTATTATCGATACTTTTATTAATGGTTATTGATAATAATGTTAATAACGATTATTATTAAGTATTGTGTATGCATAATAATTATATAATTGTGTATAATAATCATTATTATTGATATTCTTGTTAGTCATTTTATTCGAAAATCTTTAAACAATTATGAAATGAATACTACTGATGTTCCAATCTTTTATCTGGTGTATCCTAAATATGAAAGAAAATGTCCAACATTCATTTTTTCAGTAGAAACTATTTATTAGTTTTAGATTGTTGAAATGATTTGTAAAGGATATTACTAGTTTGTAGACTGTCAAATTGGGTCTCATTTAAATACTGCTACTACGTTTTAATGCAAAATTCGATATTTAAAATAAAAAGAAAGTTATTGTTTTATGCAATCGTATATTTATTTTACATTCTACAGATAATCCACTTTTACTTTAATTACAGTTAGTTTTTCCTGGATTTCACAAAAAATTAAATGTCCCTGTGCTATACAAAATATTTTCTATGAAAATATGTTTTTTTGTTCTTAAAACAAATACGTCTACGTTTAGTATTAAAAAGTATAATCTACTTTCTTACAAGGAATCCAATTAA